CTTTTGCATTCAAACCACTTGTTCCGGATAAAAGCTTCAATCGTCGTCTTAGGAAGAAATCAGGTGTTGAATGTGCATTGAGGGTTACTGATTGTTAAAGCACAAGTTTATAACGATAGTATGCAGTAAAATCTTGCATTAACTGCGTGCTTAGGAGTCTGCAAATTGCTTTCGTTGTTTATTGTTACTGTGGCGCTGGTAAAGGAAGATTGTTGCAAGTTTTTAAAAGCTTTGTTTCCTATGATGTCAAACTTGCTGCATTGTTGTGCTACTTTCACTTCTTTTTTTCTTCATATGAATGAGTACTGTCTCGGCTGAGTGCGATGCCAGAAAGTTCAGCAGACTTCGTTTTGTGCTTCTGGCAATAAATTGATATAATATTCTACCGAAATTGATCACCGTAATTTCTCTACTAGTTATATGTTGAAGCTTTGCTTGTCGTCTTTCTATTTTACGTGCTAATGAAAAAGAAAATCACAATATTTGAGGCACTTTCACGTTTTTGTCATGCCATTTACTTTACTGCATTTTAAACTGAGCCACCGGCCCCTTTCGAACATAATGTGAACTAATCCTCTGATTCTTGTTACGCCTAGCCTTTATGTAAATTATTAGGCTACGAAAATCCTTGACGCCAATATATGCGCCACTTGGAGCGAACGGAAGCGCGTCGATATCTGGAACCTCGACCCCGCTCTGAGAGCTGTGGATGCAATCGCATTTGCGAACGAGTCGGTCCAGCTTAAGGGAAAGCCTTTGTTCACCTTCACTGGCCATCTCTCTGAAGGGTTTGCGATGGACTGGTCGCCGCTGATTCCAGGTCAGGATTATTAAACTTTTTGTTCTTTATTTCCTATAGAGATTTCTTATAGGAAAGCTTGCAACCGGCGATTGCCAGCGTAACATACACCTTTGGACCATGATAGAGGGTGGTAACGGCTGGGCTGTTGATCAGAGGCCATATACTCACAAAGGGTCGGTTGAAGATATTCAGTGGTCACCGGAGGAACTATCGGTATTAATAAATACGCGTAATTCTTTTGAAATTATAACTGAAACATCATGCTGAGAATTTCTTCTATGAAGAGGTGTGTTGGTCAGTTATACGTCATCGTCTGTTGTTCACACCATGAGTTCCAGGTGCGGCTCTTTAACTCTAAGTTTTCCTATTTTTTTCAGAAACATTCTTCATCCTCTGTATCGATGTATCTGAGTCGTTTACCAGTGACATTCAGACTAATGTGATACCTCGGTTCACCAAGTTGCGTCACTTCTTTGCTTTAAAGCTGCAGCGCTACTTAATCTTATTGTCATCAAAAGTCAAGTCAATCATTCTTTCATACTTAAAACTTGTTATGCATTCCAGATAAGAGCCTCGAGATGGCTTTTCAATACCTGCCTAGTCTTAAGCCAGTTGGGGAAGGTTAACGGGTTTGAACTTAGGGCACAATAAGTCAGACTTTCAAATTAAATTCTCAAGATTGACGGACCGCAGTGCTGCGACGCCATGAAGTCATGGCCAAGATGCCATTTAGCAATTTAAAAAAGAACAACTTTCGCTCAGATATATGGTAGGCGACTAGGGGGCAGAGGGAGGGCTAGAATGCTGCGGCCTACTGAGCATTTCAAATTGTCCAGCTTTAAAATTCTGCATGTAGTTTGAATATTTGGCAAAGATCCATACACAAAGAAGCCATAGGAAAACTCTCTTGAAACTGACCCCTCTCCCCCCGATCGCTCGAACTACGGCCATCAGTGAATGAATTGTTAAACTTTGTTTTTTCTGTTGAATACAATTTCTGTTTTCGAAGCACAATTTTATTAAATGCAAAAATATTTATCACAGTATTATATTTCTGACCGTTTAAAAGCTGTCCAGGCATGGATCAGTCGCATCTTCAGTGTGTTAATCCTAAGACTCTTTTCACTATCTCCTGAGGAATCAAAGAATTAACACAACTTTCAAGACGAATGTAATCATCCGGTGGTTCATTATGCAAAATAGTTGTTAACTTTCAAAATCTGAACATGAATATTGTCGACCGCACATTTTCAAATCGAGGTGTAGCTGAATTTCAGGTGTTTTGTTCGTGTTCTTCCGACCGAAGCATAAAGATCTGGGACACAAGGTCTGCACACAGCGATGCATGTATCTGCGAAGTGTCGAATGCCCATAAAGCTGACGTAAACGTCATCTCCTGGAACAGGACAGAGCCTCTTCTGCTCAGTGGCGGCGACGAAGGTGCTCTGAAAATCTGGGATTTCAGATTTATCAAAGTATCGAAGAAGAACACAATATAGCTTGTTTTTTCTATTTTAAACCATAATTTTAGGACAAAGAACCAGTAGCTGAATTCTACCACCACAAAAAGCCCATTACCTCCGTTCATTGGTACCCTCACGAAAGCACGATTTTCGCTGCGTCCGGAGAAGACAACCAAGTAACCGTGTGGGACTTGTCCGTAGAGGAAGACGGTACTCTACAACCAGAGTAAGGCGACGAACGATCCTCTTCCTCCGTATTTATTTACCTTTCACTGTTGCAGGGACGCTGAGGAACTGAAAGGAGTTCCGCCACAACTATTGTTCATTCACCAGGGTCAAGAAGAAATCAAAGAGATCAGGTGGCACCCGGAAGCCAAGGGTGTACTGATTAGCACAGCGCTAGATGATTTCAATGTTTTCAGGACAATTACAGTTTGATCAGTCACCACTTGAATGTGAAGCCTTTCTTCGTCGTTTTTTCAATCACGTGATAATCAGTGTACAGACGTGTCTTCGCTTTGTCACTGTTCAAATCTTCGAGCCATTCGGTCATTACCACAGCAACGTCGCCACTCGCTCTTGGATCAGGATTATTTGTCTTGTCATATATCTTCTCGACCTCGGCAAACATCGCTTTCCTCGTTTCAGCCGCTGAGTAATTTCCGCCGCCGTTTAAACATCCTTAATTAAACAAATTTGTTACATAATATTAGCATCACAGAAAACAAAATTACCTGAAGGACAAGCCATCACTTCGATAAAATCATATTCACATTTTCCTTGGTTAATTTTTCGAATTATGTTCTGTATATTACGAAAACCGTAACACAGCGCCATTTTCAACAACTTATGACCGTCCTTAGCAAGGAGCGAAAATTCAGTCATGTCTCTGTTTCTACAAAATGACAGATGGATTGATCGATAACCGTTAAGAAAACGTCTGTACAGAACCTGACAAACGACAACACTTACCCGACAGAGTGATACTGAACTGTCGTGACATCCTCATCGAAAAGCTTCTTTGCTGCATACCGAAAGACATAGTCGGCGTATCCTCCGGAACCAGTATCGAAATATGTTTGCTGCTGGCCAACGTACCGCTCAAACTCGTCAACGGGATACTGCAACCATGTACATAAGCTAAAGAAATATAGCGTATACAAGGCATGACGATGAAAGTATTGATCAACTTTGATATCTGTTTCGCTGAAGATGCCTCCGCACATTTGACGGGTTCCGATTTATCGATGAATTCAGCCAGCTGTTCTTAAAGTGTAAAAATACTGTTTCACGTCACGCTTTGGTGTAAGCAAAAAAGACGAAAAAACTGCATGTAAGAATTTTAGTTATAAACATTTTACATAACCTTTTACTATCTACAATATAATCTACATCACTAATAAGAAAAATACAGAATAAATATCTACATGCTAGGCGTCTTTCTCAGGCGTTACATTTATATAAATGAAACGAACGTTAGCTGCATTATGTTAAATCTAAACAATTTTGGGAATGCTAATGCCGTTCATCTAACCAACATAAAATGGGGAGAAGGACGAGCATTAAACAGACCTAAGTAGTGAATCAACTGGAGACAACCACTAGCTGAGAAACGCGGATAATTTCTTACTGATGCAGAGCGGTAAGTGAAGTCGCGTCACGTGGTCATGTGGTGAGATTTCCAAAAGGTATCACAGCAGCCGTAGACTTTCGTACTGCAGCTTCACAGCAGCTTTAATGGCGAAGCCTTAGAAGCAGACTACAACTATGGAACGGCGAAATGTTCTTCAGATCATAAAGTCACAGCCACGGCTTAGGCATTTCTTGTGAATGCTTCCACAACAGAATGCGAAACACCACTTACACAACCTATCGGCCAAAGAACCCATGAAGAGGCCAAGAATAACTTAGTTCAAGTGTATGGAATACGTTCAAGATTGGGGTTATATTCTGCCGGAATTTAAACGCTGGCACAGGATAGGGAATTTTGGAAACAGTTTCTGATGCATCTGCCTCCGTGACCTGGAAGGATAAGCGCTCAACGAAACTAACTCACTGTTATGCTGGAATCATCAAAGGACACGATATGCTGGTGCTGCAGTCATAACGCTAAACAGCAATCATGATTCTGCACATTTTATTGGACTTTAGTCATTCTCCAAACCTCATTACCAGCGAAGACGCCCCAGTTAACATGTTATAGACACCATGGTTGACTTTTCTGGAGAAATGGTATGAGGCACGTAGCTGATCAAGAATGTGGCCACTTCTTTAGTGCTTAGAGTCATAGGTTTAGCAGTGGCTGCTTTGCTGTTTCAGCTTCTAATAAACAGAAATGTGTTCTGTTCTGAGATATTGATAAAATGGCTTTCTTGACAATTCGCTGCACCGCATTATATTCTCATATATTATTCTAGATAACTTTGTTTATTTTATCAAAGTCCATAAACAAACTTACGTTTTGTATTTACCTAATAGCTAAGTATCACAAGCTCAATTTAGCCAACTTGTCAGTCTATTTTCCCCTACCTGTACTTAAGACGCAGTCCACTTCTGGTATCGTCGTTTCTTCGAACGTCAGATTGCTCCTAGAAGCTTCCAATTTTTTGTCGTAACACGGCATCACCGTGAAATGAAAAATTTCGTCAGCTGAATAGCCTACAACTATTACGTTTCAGGAAAAGATCAAACGTGAATTAACAAAATTTACCACACTTTCGTCCAACGTAGTCCTTTATTATCGAACCCATTACTGCCTGTGGAGACCTTGCATGAGATATGAGATTGACTATATTTTCTCTTTGAGTTTTTTCCGCATAACATACCCACCCTATAAACAGGCAATAAATAATCAAATCCAACAAAAATGCATTGCTGCACAAGGGATATCACAAAGTTTCAACATAAATGTACAAGATTATACAGAGAGTACGCTTTAACTCCATTGCAGTATGTTCATGTGAGTCACAGCCGTGATGTAGATTAACAAATTTATCTGCCAAACAGCTTTTAGTGAAAGATCTGCTTTTGGTATTTAGTATGGCATGTGAAAACAAGAATGTTTCCTTTCAAGATTGTTTTCCATGAGAAGTTTGGGATCCAAATGTGATCTCTGACTAAGTTGCGTTACTACATCTATATTTGGATCATTCTGAGGCATCTTCGCTGCAAAAATGCCCAACTTTGGTCTATCCCAAGTTTGAGGGTGACATCTTCACGGTGCTGAAGTGAAGATTTTACTCGACCATGTGCGCAAGTTTAAAATTTCATGAGAATCTTCATAAATCCAGAAGGAAGAACGTTACGATTGAAAATAAAAGACAATGTCGAGCTCAAATTTTCCAATGTTAACAACGGTTAAAAACGCAATATATTTTTATTTCGTAGTTCATCGAAAACATTTTAATAGATACGTACACTCAACCACTTACGCCCCTAAACCAGTCTGTGAATTTCAACGACTGCGTAACATTTTAGGCGGCTGAGGCAGACAGTATCGCCGACACTCTCGATCCCGTGCCAGCGTTTGAGCTGAGACAAAAAATAACCCGAGTCTGGAACAGACTAATTCCAGACATTTGCCCCAGGTATTTTTTTTGCCGTTTCCAGGGCCATCGGTCGGTCAGTTGGGCAACTAACAGCTGTTTTACAATCCTTTCTGAATGCATTCACAAAACTTACCCAAATCAAAGCACTATGCTCTGACATGCGCATTGAAACCGTTCATCAGAATGGTGGATTCTGTCACTTCTTATCACTACCTTTGTTGTTCTCCAAGAAGCAGTGATTCTCCTTCAATATTAGGCGTCTAACTACCTTTAATCCGTAACAAGGTCGAAATTTAAGCCTGTTGTAACTTCAGTCGAATGAATGCCACTTTTCCGCTGACAGGCTTTCATTCAATCATTTTGTTAGCGAGGGTGGGTTCTTCCGGAAGACTAATGCTACCTTAGCGCGGATCGTGGAGTCTAATAATTTCCACCTGCAGAGGTTCAGAATCCCATGGCTGCTGGTGACGAGAGTTCAACTATATAGAACTGGTACCTTGTGGCCTCATCAACAAGCTCCGACTCTTTCCCTCTGAATAACGGAATGTTAGAATTTCTGACTGATAATTCCTACTCTCAGTATCGGGTTTCCAAATAACTTTGTATGACTTGCCATGGAAGCATCGTACTGTCTGCCTCCTCAGTTCAGAACGGGTAGTGGCTCTGTTGCTGACATATCTTTGTCGTCCTTATGTCGATCTGTGGCAGCCGTGGGCGTAACGCTAAACTCCCAGATGTCAGATGTTGATTATCAATTTCTGATAGCCGACTTTTTGCGGTCTTCCTGAGCTCACTAACACAATACATAGTCCTTTGTAATCTGGGCGCTGTGCTTATATAATGGCAATACCATAAAGAGCAGGTAACTAAGTTTCACGGGGAACTCGCCACGGTCTACAACCATCCTCCCATCTTATCTGTGCTTGGGGCCGGCAACGGCGTTGTTGCCCCTAAACTAATTTTAGGAAATATTGTAAATATCACGACTCAGATGCCTTTGGGTTTGTACCACTGATTTGCTATCAAGCGAACTTGCAGATTGGGTGAAAAAATTACTGAGCTATTGAAACCCATGTTCATGCTAAAAAGAGTCTAAAAGTAAGAGAGACTCCAGGGTAATCATGTTTTATTCCCAAACTATATAAAATTAAACAACACCTAGACAAAAAAAGGCTTTGGAATGTATACAAAATGAACGGTTGACTGGGATCGCAAGTCCACTGGAAATTCCATCAACTAGGGAGAGATCTAATGCGACGAAGAGCTCATAGTATCGAGTATAACGAATCCACCAAGATCTTCAACAGGAAAATCATATGAATACTGAACAAAACAGGGCTACGTCACATCTAACAGATCTGAGAAATTCGGAAGCAAAGCATTTGAGCATTGTTTCCCATACCATCTACGAATATCTTTTCTACTGATAGTGGCAAAACAGAGATCAATGTATTTGTTAAATAATCGTTACCAATGTTGGTTAGCAAAAAACGACACTATAACTAATGCATGGTCCTGTTTAGTTTGAGTTACAGATGGAACTGCCATGGTGACTAAAAATTTTACATAACTGTCATCTTGCTATATTTCTGTATTATAACCCTGATGACTGTGGTATACGACGTCGAAACGTGCCGGTAAATGAGGTATTTTACATCGTCCTCTTTTGACTGTTGCCATGAACCAGGCACAGGGAAGTGAAAACCACTAAATGCCCTTCAAAGAACTGATACGTCGACAGCTACTCAATAAAGGCTATTACATACCTTCATTACTGTAATTTTCTAGATCCGCCATTTCTGTTGCATAGTCTAAAATCTCTCATTTCCAAAGCGTTCTAAGTTTCATTACTGACAATGCTGCTAAATACGGACAAATAATAACTAATTTATAAATTCAGACTTGGGAAGGTTGCGTCACCTCGTTTGAAGGTTGTCATTTTTGATATGTTGTGAACACAAATGCTTTAACCATTTGAAACCCGATTAGTAACCTATACATCCAAAAAGCTGATTTGGTCTATGTCCCATTTCTGTACAGCGAGGACGGTCCGTCTGGCTCTCTCATGGTCTGCCATGAAATTTTTAAACACGGCTGATCAGAACATATATTCATTAAGAACACACTTACGTAGATTTGCCATGATTGCTGAGGGTGGCATTTTTGCAGCATAGAAGTTTCAAGGTATTAAATGCACAGACGCGCAAACACAAAACTGATCAAATGCCCGCTTGATTGTTTTTCTCATAATATCAGTTTTCTTTTTATGTTTTACTCAATGCTAACGTCGGTGTTTGGCAACAAAAAAAGCATATGTCAATAAAGGATTTAACATCGTTCTCTTTTACTGAACGGAGATTCAAGAAAAGGAGGCATATATGCATTACTGAAGCAAGCAAAGAATCTCTTTTTCTCTTCATTCGTATTTCCCAGAGTAAGATTTTCAACTGTCTTTTACCACCGCATTGTCAGTGTAAAGCAAAAAATGCATTTTTTTTACACTACACCTTCGTTGTTTCAATTCGATTTATTTAAATATTATATGTCGACGCCAGAGCATCGGGGTTATGTTCTCGTAAGATTAATTTTACGCAATGAATTGAACACTGCAGTATCTTGATAACGTGTATTCTGCTGAATTGTAGCAAAGGCTTTTATACATTTTGCTCAGTGCAGTGAAACAACGTGCGAATTCGGCACCAGCCAGTCAATTGTCTTTATCTGATGCACTGGCTCACTGTCGTTAGATATCACGCGATCCTTGATATAACTGCCTCGGTCAGTAAAACACTGGTCGGCACCGATAAATATTATGTACGGGCTACCATCGTCGGATCTAAATATGTTTATGATTATAAATAAATGATGCTATTGTAGATAGAATAAGGTGACAAGAACTGCAGGGATATGATTAGTCTTGACGACATTCAAGTACGTCTGCAACGTTCAAAGATGCTGAACGAAGATTATAACGAGAAATCAAACATGTTCTATAATAGCATTAAACCTGGCAAATCTGTTACCTGGACATATTCCTGTAATGATAGGAAGCAATCCTGATCTGCCACAAATTGAGGCTTCCTTGTACCTGTTAACGAACTCCTCAGCCGAAGCGATTAGGCTGAACTTCCTGGCAGCCGCAATATCGAATATAAGGTCAACACCTAAAAGACAAGAAAATAATCACCAAATTCCATGCGTTAAAATTGGTATGTTTACGCAGATTTGGTTGGCTGTTTCATCATTAGACAAAATTTTCAAAACAACTGGACAAAACTTTTACGTAAATATAACTGTTGCGTACGTCAGTGTTTTTCGGTAACGTCATAGATCAATATTGATCAACTAAGCGCACAAATGGTAAATACTGCATACTAAATCCTTGCATATAATAGTAGAATACATGGCGTACATATTTATATACGTAATACATGGTCAGTTGCTGTGCGTCAGTAGATCCTCTACGCAACAAGGAGTAAACACTAAGCCATGAAGTCATGTTTTGAAACGACTATTCGTCTGCTAACATATTCTTGCGTACTAGCTCATATTATATATAGGAATGAGATGACCCAGAACAACGCTAACTGAAGAGAGATCGACCGGTCAATTCAGAATGCCCTTTAGCAGAACGTTCTCGTCGAAAAGAGATATTGGAAAACAACAACGAAGTTCGAAGTTTCACCGAAAATGAAACAAGAAACTATTCATACTGGTCAGGACATCGACCGCTGAAATAACAATGGGAAGGGCATGTTACACGAAGAATCGACTATCGCTGAACCAGAGACACATCAGACTATGTCCCAAGCGAGAGAGAAAAGCCGGTAAAAATACCTACACTTCGACGGCAGAATGAAATGAAGAAGCACTGCATTCGCTGGACTCAGTTTTACTCAAATCATACTGCATCATACTGCAAATCATGCTGCATCATATCACAATATAGCATATCCATGCAACAGCGGTACATCACGGTATTCAAATGTAAGAGCATAAGTCTTTTACTGTGATGAAGAGTTCGACATGCTGTCTCGAAACGAGTTCGCGGGATAAACGAATTTTCACTGTCCTAAACGCCTGCTGCTTTGAATCACGAATCAAGGAAATAAATGGATGGAGTAGCGATTATCTTCTTCATGCGTAGCAGATGTATGAAGAAGACATATTCAAAGAAAGAATCATTCTGAGCACTCGTTAATTTATTTTCCCTTGTCAGGAGGTAGTTGAAGATGCAGCATAAACAGTGTAGGTTCAAACCGTACTTGCTTCACTCGATTTTCATTGTTACGGAGGCAGATAATGAGTGTCACCTTCTTAGAAGGAAGTAAAAACCATAACTCGCGCTTGGTATATTGCTACACAACGCCGTCAAAATATAATTACTTTCAGTTAACGATATCGAAGCAGATATCAGTGTTGCAGAACAGACTCTCATGTATGAAAGAGTGCCGTGAATGGTACCTATTACGGAACTGCATGTGAGTCAAGTATTTTAATGGACGAAATCACATTGTATTTGACTGCCCGTTCAGTCAAAATACTGTCTCGCATAATTCGATAGGTTAGAGAGCACTGGTCAATCATATTACGGCCTGCTTACCTATTCCGTGGAAAAACGAGACCAACTTGCGATTCATTTCTGCCGGGGTCATTTTATACCTGACGGACAACCATGCAGCGGACTGACGAGAAATACTGCCGACCACTAGAAGATTCTTTTCGGGGTTAGTATGCTACAAGCAGCAGGAGGTACAACAACACAAATATAAGATTTTAATCTACAAATTACAACCTTTCGTTCCAGGGCTTTCATCAGCTCTTCCGGTCGTTGTTCCTCAATGAGTACAACTTCCGCACTGGTGACACAACCACTACACGCTAAACAGTCGTTTAGGGTCACTTTCAGTGGCGCATAAATCTGAAAAGTAGAAACGTGAAAAAAAACAAAAAACATTCTATGCTGAATGCTTATTGTTACGACAGATTAATATTTTTTACATACAAGATAAGATGCTGAAGCTTCTAACCATAATCACAAATTTTACTTAACAGTCGATGATTCTTGTTGCAAATACCGATATTACAACTACTTTTTCCGAGCGTATTCACCTTACCTGCTACTCGAATCAACCTTCTCCACATTTTTCTGTCACTGGTAAGATCTTCAGAGGCTCCTTGCCGTTTCATATCGTTCTTGACGACATATCGCCGCCTTTACTTTTGTCTTCCCCCTCTTTACTTTCATGACAGTATCAGTGCTTGGAACAATTCCAACGTACTCGATGGATCTTATTTCACGTGACCGAACCAACTGAGCCTGCTATTGGTGATAACCTTAGAGTGCCTCTTATGAAGCTGCTTCGAATGTGGTTCATTTTAATTAGTCTACTCATTCATTGGAGCATTGGCATTTCTAGTGAGTTCAGCTCTTGCTCGTGTCGAGGGTAGCCAAATATTCCACTCGTGCAGAAGCACTGATTATCGCTATTATTATCATTTTTTACAATTTCTCCGTCAGCTTGATGGCCAAGCTTTTTTGACCGATTTCATATCTCGCTGTCGATTTCAGCATTGACTTGCAAAACGGAACCAGAATAATTAAATTTGTGGAATTGGGGCAGCAAGCTCCTCCCTACTGTTTTCCCTCAGTGAAATAGTCCGCCATATATATTGGTTTGTCTTGTTGAATGGAAGGCCGTTCTTCTCACAGGTTGTTCTCCTTGCCTCGGTTCTTGACTCTACAGTTTATCTGCTTCTGCTGCATAGCACAATGCCATCTGCACAGTGCATGCAGTATAGGGCTGCTTTCTGCAGATTCTCAGTTATCACTTCTGTTACGATCGAAAACAGAAATGGGTACAGTGCGGATCCTTAGTGGACCCTTACCCCCACAGGGAACTATTCCGTTTTCCCGGAGGCACTTTGAACTACCGTTGTCACTCTCTCGTAGATGTCTCTGGTAAGCCTAACAGATTTTTATGGCAAGCGCTTCTTTCTCATAATCCATGGGATTGCTTGCCTCGGGATTCCTTAAAAAGCTTTCTTCATAACTAGGAACACCATGTGATGTTCTCTTTTTCCTGCATGTTTCGAGGGCTGATCGTAAAGCAAAAATGGCATAAATGGTTGAGCGGTCTGTTATAAAGCCAAACTAATGTGTACGTCCTAATTCAGTCTATTAAATGAATAAACAGCTTATTTCATGAGTATTTTTTAGAGGCGAGTCTGTCCTCTTTCATTTGGTACATTGGCATTATTGTTCAAATGTTCCCAGTAGCTATTCGCAATTTCTCGCTTCCTCTTAAATATTTCAATCTGTCCTTTTTCAACTACCGGCGTCTTAAGAACTGGTTCTCTTGCTTATTTATCACAGCCGCAGGATTTGCTACTCGCCTGTGCCATAGGATTGTTTCTGGAGGTAATCTGACTCATTATATTTGGCCATGGAATTGACTTTGAAGGCAGGCTGTCCGCCTTACGCCAAACGGTTTGTCTCAATCGCACTGGGTACCAGCTGTGACTAGTTGTGGTTAGTATCATGTTTATTTAATGACGGATGTATTCGTCTTATCACTGCGCTGTCATCGGGCCTAGACGTATTTTCTAAAGCGAACCATGCCAGAAGCTGGCATGCTGCACCCTCGTAGCACTGTCCTCATTTTGTCCGCGACTGCTTATTCGTCGGGTTCTCCATTTATTTCGTAGCCAATCTTCATATCTGAGGGCTGTCCCATAATCCGCAATCTGTGGACGAATTTGGCGGCATCACAGATCTCCTTGACACTACTATGATACTATGATTATGACTGAATCAGACTAAAAAACGAAACGCGTCGCGTCTGTTTGCAAAACGTTTCCTTTTTTAACCAATGCATCAAGAAAACAACCGGTTCATGAATTACAGGCCAAAAGTCAATAACTTCAAGCAAATTCCACTTTAAAACTATTGTTTCAATGCAAATTACTTTGGACATAATACAAGATGTTCCTTTCGCTTTCATGCTTCCGGCAGCGAAGCCCTCATCAGGGAATTTTTACGACATGATATGGAAGCTATGCGATTAAAAAACAAAGGTGGATATGAAACGGCGAGACCAGGGCATAACTGCGTTTGAGCTCGACAAGTTAATTCCTTGGAAAAAAGTCACAATGTTGAATGACAGTCTCATGACGAGCCGAAAGCTACCCGCCCATTGAAAAAAGGGGTCGACCATATCACGTCAACCTAACAGTTTTATACATGGATTCGTCAAACGGAATTGGAAGAACAGTCTCGCCGAAACTGACCCCTGTCAACGGATAAAAAAGTTCATGAGCTATGAAAACAGAGTGCCGGCTTGTAGCTGATAATCGAAATGTTGCGGCGAACAAGCTGGAATGCCTTCCATCGTAGACGCATTAAATAACGAAATGAAACCAGAAGTATATTTTACGATACAGGACATATTAAAGTACAGATTTAGAAGACGACCAACAGTACTGCCTACCTCGGTCTTCCCGTTCGCATTTTCATACGCAATTTCACCGGGTCCCCCTCGACCAAGACGAGGAACAAAAGGTTTGATGCACTCCTTAAAACAACAAATTTTAAAACGCACTACAATGGCGTGAGTAGTTATATGAATACCTGTGATGGATTAATAAAGTCACTCAAATCGGTCAACTTCAGAGCTCCGCTGAAGCCACTTGCCATTTCTAATAAATCTATGCAAATATTTCCAATCAAACGTTCACGAAAACTTAAATGCAGTATCTGATCATTTCTGAAATTTTGCGGAATTTTTAGGTTTTAATTTTTACTAGAGCGATCTTAAGGCATTTTAAAAAAGAATATTCATTTATATTAAACCTATAACACTAACAGACATCACTGCACTGAGCACACAGGTATATTTGATACTATCATTAGGAAAAACGAATTGCAGGATGAGTTTCAAAATGTTTTGCAACAAGATTGCTTTAACGTCCCTCTTTATATGCCCAAAACAACGAAAATCTCTTCATTTTGCCGAACATTCTATACACTCTTCTTAAATAGTATTTTCTGATTATCGCTGTCGTTGTTTAGCTGGAATTTTTCAAGTTTCTTTCCCCATCAACCGCAATTATTCATTCAGACTGTCGGTGAGATGATGACTGTTCAATTTTCACGGGCAGGATCGTTTTGTTTACAACCTGGGAGCTGTGTGACTTTAAAATAGATATACAAAATGCATTGTGCCGACCATTTTGCTTCAGTTAATTTTCGCAATTTGAGAACAACCACGCAAGACTGCAAGGCAAACGGTGCAGCATCGTGCAACACCAACAGGAAGCATGTTGCATCACATTGAAAAATATACCATTCTTAAATGTGCTTGTGAAGAGAACACCATCACATGAATTTTAATTCAATTAGAATTTGACTCATTCGAACACCCACTCTTGTCTGAGGTCATGCTCCAGCTGTTGTTTTTGAAACATCTTGACGAATCGTACCACATCTAAGTTTGCTTCCCGCCTGGACGCTAGAATTCAGTGTCCATATCGAACATCCCATTATCGTGTACTCTTCAAGAATGGTTTTCCGCAGAAGACAGAGGGCAGTCACGACCTACTGCACCCAGTTAGAATCTGATAAAGACGGCCAAAAGTTTCTAGACATTCCATAATGGCACACAATTACTTTAATATTTCGTTTAATCGCAAATCGAACATTGTTTCATTTTGCAACTGTGTCCATTTAATCATTTTTATGCGATTTGTTCAGTCTGCGAACACATGTTATCATAACAACCGACTATTTCTGTTCACTTTCTCAGCATTACAGCGGGACAAAAACAGAAGAATTTTTTGCGGATGTGTGTTTGGGAAGCGATTCTGAGGTGGCAGCGTACAGATAGAATCATCAGGGTGACCAATCAATCAGCAAGCTCACACATTCCTGAGATTCATTATAGAGATATCTGTTGTAACTTTCTACTGCTTGCACCTTTATAGATTGTACACGCCTTAGATTGGATGTCTCAGATAGTACAGTCAGTTAGTTACGTTAGATTAGGAGACCTTTTGCATCTAGAATCATTTCTGGCAATAGCGCCACTTGTGAAAGAAGGAAACTGGTTGACAGCTTAAATCACTGCAGCCTTCGCTTTTGACGTCATTGCCGTCAAAAATTCGTTCGGACTCCATTAGTTTCACCTTTAATTCCACCTGCGACTGCCAGATGCAATTACTAATGACTTTAATCTATAGATATGGTAATGTGTTGTAGACAGCGCCTGATAACTTCACCGTAAACTTGGTAACTATCCTACTGACAATAAATCGGATGGTAGGGGAGCTTGCGGTTTTTTACTGTTCATTTAATTCTTTTTCATTCGATTTTCTCAGGAGCTTGCTCTCCCCATCAGTCATTTTCCTTCTGTTCCATGGGAGTTAGAGAATTTGTTTCACAACAAGCAGTGACGTTGCAAAGTGTAATCAGAAGTAATTCAGTGGTAACATGTGCATGCGGAAGTGAATCACAGTCAAAGGTTAACGTTGACATTGGAGAATTCCGTCTGATTTGTGTATTTAGCGTTTGCATCATCTCCGATGACAAATTTTTGCACTCACCGGAATCCAGTACGTCTGTAATTTGTAAAGTACATAAGCAGACGAAAGTTTTGCGCCGAAAAGAAAGAACTTGACCTGACTTGACATGTGATTTCAATCACTTGCTGCCGTCGGAATTTGTCTTGGACAAATATGGACGAACTGCACATGTACCACCATTGACAACTTTGTAAAGGAAATATTTTTCTGCATCTGCCTTTAGGTAAAACTGATTCACTAAGATTTAACATTTAAAGGCTTGAAACGCTCTTCACTGATAGCTATTACGCAATTTGGGTTAATTTGGGTCGATGAGATGGTATGGGTGCGGCAAACAATGTAACAAATTAAACGTGGTGCTTACCTATTGACAGCAGA